ATATATATATATATATATGTGTGTGTGTGTGTAATAAAATAATTTTAGAATTATTCTCTGATACTGCTGATATTAAAAATGCAAATTAAAATAATTGTTTTTATCTTGATTTATAGTATTCATAAGTCATATTTATAATGACTGGGAAGCTGGGCTAGATGCCTCACTTTACACTCCAGTTATTTTATTAATAAAATAAAATAATAGCAATTTCCACCATGTTTCATTAAACCTTGACAAGTACACCATCTGATGTGTTTAGTCACTCTTTACACCAACACATGTGTGTTGACATATTATGCAGAAAAAAAATAGATGTCTCAAAGATCTAAAATGTGCAAAATGTCAACTTGTAACTTCCTTAAATCTCCCTAGCAGGTAAAAACAGCCTCTCGATTGCAGCATGCGCTTTTGATTATGTCCAGGTTATGTAAAAACAACAGTCATTTAGGCCAGGTTGTTTCAAGTGGTACATCAGAAAGCTTCACCCTCATGTCTCATTAAAAGAACTTTGAGATCAGGAATAAATTAGTTCAGCAAATAAACAGTATTGAGATTGTTGCATTTGAATTAAAAATGTGATCTGAAGCAATGTTCGAAGGGATCAGACAAACTAAATGCCGGTGTATGATAAAACTGTGCATTATGTCATGTAAAAAGGCTTTCAACTGCTTATGGGAATAAACTCCTCCAATGACCACCATGACAACACTAGAAATTACTCATGACATGCTCACGATTTTGTATTTTGGGAAGTATGACTCGAGTTCGGTCCCAGTTTCAGGCGGTATGTGAAGCTGGCACCTCTGAATGCCAGCAGGGGTCTTTTGCCCATTCAGATCCTTATGCTAATGAGCAGCTGGTATCTCACTCTCGCCTGTGGCTTTGCATGCTAAAACGCTTACAGGATTCAGCGCTTCCAGTGAAACTCACCCAAAACCACTAAGATACATGACCAGATTGGAAAAGGGAGGTTTTCCTGAAAGTCTCATGTTTGAGCTGTGCCAAATGTGTAGGGATATTTAATGCCTAATCTTAGGTTTTGTCATAAGCTTTGAGCTGTTTGAAAATATGTTTTATCAAAAGAAAATATCATGTATATGTGGTAAAATAAAAAAAACGTACTCCCATGACTCTGCATGTTGCTATGCAGTTGCTAGGGTGTTCCAGGTGTTTTTGTTAGGGGGTTGCTTACAGGCCCAAGAAAAAAAAGAGCCCCCAAGTCTCAGATCTCTCCTTCAGTATAAACCCTAACAGGAATCATTCTCTGAACTTCAGCTAACACACTAGGTTTTCTCTAATTTACTGTATGAACAAACGTTCTCCTAGTAACGTTAATAGAATGTTCATTCAATGCTATCTGGTCTTTAAAGGAATAGTTCACCCAAAATTGATATTGTACTCAAAATTGACCCACCCTAAGGCGGCAGCCCATCCAAGATGTAGACGAGTTTCTTTATTCTTCGGAACAGATTTGGGAAATCTAGCATTACATCACTTGCTCACCAATGGGTCCTCTGCAGTGAATGGGTGCCGTCAGAATGAGAGTCCATACAGCTGATAAAAACATCACATCAAACATCTTCATTTTTGGTTGAACTATTCTTTTAATATTGTTCTCAAAACGTTAGCACAAAAACATTGTTTATATATCCTTCATGGATCATTTTAGAGAACATTCAAAAGTAACATTCCCACAGCGTTTGCAAAATGCTGAAATGGAGTGTTCGTGTAAGCAAGAATAAATGTTTTTAAACCATTTTAAATACTTGACATTTTGAACTTTTTGAAATTTTTCAACATTTTATAGAAACGTTAACAAAAAGTCCTTAGGACATAATTTTGTTAGCTATGATTATATGATACTTTTTTCAACCATTTGATTGACTGCTATTAAAATTATAAATCTGATGGGTTAGAAAAACACATTCTGCACAGTTTGAGATATGATTCATGCTGATAGCACGAACAGTGCTGGACTGGACAAGCTTGATATTTAGGGTTATGGGTTTGTTCAAAGTATGCACCATTAATAATAATACATTTTTATAATCATTAAATTATGGTAAATGGGACTATAGTTGACTATTCCAAATATTCAGAGATAACACAAATGAGTCATGATGCTCTCGTGGCCCAGTGGCTCAATTTGAACAGAAGTTCATGGATAGTTGAAATTCTTGAATATAAATTTAGGAGTATATGGCTATTTGTATCCTTCACATGTGAATGAAGTCATTATCTATTCTGGTTCTACAATAGAACTGATCCGCTGCAGTGACTCCCCCCCTTCATTATGCCTCTGGGGGTTTTCTGACCTCTCTGATTACCCAGATCATCTCAAGTGCTTCTGCAGAAACCTGTGAGAGGTTGTGAGGTCAGAAACAATAGTCAGAGTCGGAACTCACTTACACTCTGTAAAACACCACACACTGCTTGAGAAAACAATCACGCCTTATGCTCTATAATAAAAATTATAGGTTTAGGAAAACATTCATAAAAATGTAATACACAAAATAACTGCTTTTGTTTGACCTTTCCGGAGATTACAGGAAATGACATACTAACCTTTCTGCAAGTGTTTACATGAAACAGAACTTCTAAGTATTATTAGTACTATTAATAGCATTATTACTAAAATTAAAAACTTTTTTTTCAAATAATATATAAATAAAATATGCTAAAAACTACAATCAATTGATTTGTGATTTCAAGTGAGTTTAGGCATCAAAACAATGTATAATATGGAGAAAAAAAAGTATTTGCTAAAGGTTATATTTAAACGTTTTATTAAATTAATAGTTAATTAGAGTTAACCTAACCTTTCATTGAAGTAAAACTATTGAAAATGGTGGGAAAATCCCATTATGAAAATCCCAGGAATATAAATATTCCTTCATATTTATATCATGAAACAGGAAGCCATGGCTGGACAATTTCATATTTGTAGACACTCTAGTGTGCTAATAAGTGTAAATATGTGTAAAAAATATTTTATTTCATCATGAGACCCCCCCTCCCCCATTTCCAATTGTTTTACTTCAATGAAAGGCTAGGTTTTTGTGCTTTAAAAAAAATAAATGATCAAAAGGATTAAGTCTTCTTTGATCATATTTACCAAGGGTGTCAATAATTCTGGCCACAACTGTAATTAAATATTCAGTATCGACTGATACCAATAAATTAAAATGTTTCTGGTTGATAGTTATGATATCAATATGTCATACATCCCTTCTGATGTTTATGTCTGACTTGGATTTGGTCACAATGTACTGTCATCATATGAAAGAACAGTGCGGAGGTTCTTCAAAAAATCGCCACGTTTTTCATGGGGAAAAAAACAGCGTACAGGTTTGGAACAACACGATGTAGTGATGAAGTGAAGAACAACATGAGTAAATGATGACTGTATATTTTTATTTTTTGAATAAATTATTCCTTTAACAAAAGTCATGCAAAAAGGAAATCAGGTTATTTTACCACACAACCAAATGTTTCAGAATGTTCCTGTATTTCCAGTTTTGCTCTCCAAACAGCGTACAGGTTTGGAACAACACGATGTAGTGATGAAGTGAAGAACAACATGAGTAAATGACTGTATATTTTTATTTTTTGAATAAATTATTCCTTTAACAAAAGTCATGCAAAAAGGAAATCAGGTTATTTTACCACACAACCAAATGTTTCAGAATGTTCCTGTATTTCCAGTTTTGCTCTCCAAATTGGAAACAACACCCTAATTTTAAGGATCAATAAATTATGCCTCAATGGAAAGTCCCCTGGGCTGATGACAGATTTGTTATTACTTTCAGAACTCCAGGACAACGTTTCTTTTGTCTTGGCTCGTTTCTTCAACCTTTTCCCAGGTTCATATTCAAGCTTAAATAGATACATAGTGTTTTACACATTTTAGGATTCCTTCAGATCACACAGAGAAGATCTTTTATTTTCAAATTGTTTTGCTCATTGTCCAGGTAAACAGACTCCTGTGGCCCCGTGAGGTCATTTCAGGTCTTTTCATGGAATCTGTTTTCTTGACAGAGAAAATGTAAAAACAAACACCTTTTGCTGTGAGCTTAACCCTTCTGTTTTGACAGACTATCTCCAGGTTATTCCTGCTTACCCTAAGAAGTTAGTACACCTCATTTAAGTGTGTCATCCTGAATCAGACTTCCATGCTCCGATAAGGACATGATAAAGACCACATGAAACTTTATTATCGAACCTAGAAGGTTTTTACTGTAACAAGTAGCAAAAAAACACCTGATAACCTAAAACAACAGATGCATACACACCCAATGAATAAATAATTCCATATTGACAGAGTGTATGGAGTCTGATCCATGAACACACTTCCAGAAACGGAGAAATTCCACATCGGCTGAAGGTTCACACGGCATGTCCTGTATATTCACTCACACCCATATAGCAGGTCTGGAAGCAACTTCCTGTTTAACTCTGCGTTTCATCTGTCAACTCTTTATGCTGTTAATTCAGACAGAGGCTGGAACTCCAGTGACACAAA